GGAGCTGGGAATTCTACGGAGAGAACGTGAACAGCAGCCAGTACTGCTTGGTCTACCTCTCGAGGATGAGGGCGAACGGGGCGATGGAGAGGGTGGCGAATGCATGGCGGTAGACGACGAGCACGTAGTGGCTCATGCCTTGGTTGAGGGAGAACTTGGTCAGTATGTTCATGCCGGCGTAGCCGAACTGGAGCGAGATCATGGCGGCGTAAGGCTTGCACACCTGAAACAACTTCCTGCGGCTTCCTTGGTTCTTCATCTTGGTTAGAGCTTAGCAGAAAGCAAATGTAGAGAAACCCGAGGACCAAAAACTTATGGGTTCCTGTCTGCTACGGCTGGTATTTATAGCAATAGGCAGGCATCATCGGTCGAATTGACGGAACCCAACCGGGACGTAGATGGCCAACTTGGGCATGGAATCCATCCACCTGGCAGCAATAGGATGGAGTGTATGTGGAAGCAGGGGTGGCTCATGGGCACTAGTTGAGTGGCAGATGATGTGAGGTGCACCCACGTAATGGGAATTCTGGTGCGCGCTGATGATGCCTTCATAATGCCCCGGTGCCGGCACTCCGGCCTTCCGGTGGTGGACGCTGCATTCACCGGTGGTTGTCGCTCTCGTTCCGAGGTCTGCGTCGATGCCAAGGATGCATATCTTGACGGCAGAGTAACCCTTTCATGATGTCGCTCCCGTGGATCCGAAGCGTCAATTTAGCTGACATTTGCTGCGAGTTTGCCACTTCTCGCATTCCACTTGTCGATGTTGTACAGGTACTAAGATGTCAGTGCTTGTCGTGTTCTTTGCGTTGGATGTGTCTGATGATGGTCATTGGCTACGATTTCTCTGTTACACTGGAAAGAGAGAACGCAAATCATTAGCAATTTGTTTAAGGTTCGTGGAACAAATTGTAAGGATTCCACTTTCAGACATCAGCTTGCACTTGCAGTGTCTCATGGCAAGAAACAGAGTATCTTCTGCTAGTTGCAGCTACTAGTTGGGAATACATGACATGGTAGTGTCTGTGCCTGATGGAAATACTTCATTTCATGCTTTTCCAGTTGACAAAACAGCTGGAGAATTCACTTTATTTCTCTTTCCACTTCATTCAGCTTTCTTTGGCCGTGGATGCCTAGTTCTAAGACCCTTCGGTTTAGGATGGAAGTGAAGAAGATGAGACACAGAGTTCAGACCAACTCTGGTGAGCTGCTGAGAAAAATGAGACATCGATATGCCATTGCAAGGCAGGGGGGTTGCAGGGGAAGTTGGTCATGGCAGCATCGTGTTGATTTCTGCTCCTTTGTAGGAACAGATGGTAACCTACACAAATGACGAGGTTGCAGTTCCTGCTCGCCATGAGATGGATGACATGGATCCCACTTGCGCTAGTGTTGGGTTACAGAGAACGAAGATTGACGCGAAGTGGATGCTCTTCCAACAGTTGAAATGAAATATTATTCGCAGTACTCTCACAATTCATTGCCTTTCTATGTGTTGGCTCAGTGGAATGCATGTACTGTAGACGGAAAAGAAGATAATTCGGAGTTGAACATGCGACTTACAAGCATCAAGCGGACAGTGGTAGCTCACGAGTAGTGCGAGTCATATCCATGGTCTCATCCTCTGCTCTGGAAACAGCACCTTGCTGAAGTACGCTTCTTGCTTTCTTTCCTTCAAAGTCGTGAACAAAATCATAAGAATTCAAAGAGCAAGCTCTTCTGCATTTTTCAGGGCCATGATACCGTCTGCTACCCTGGTGCTTGAAGGCCATAATGGCTACCGCGATGCATGATTTCGCTGTCTTCCAAAACACTGAGAAAAGCCTTCAGAACTCTCCCTTTCCTCCCCACCCCCCACCCTCTCTGCCGCCCCTGCCATTGACTATTGATCTCCTTGGTTGGCTTTCCTTCCATGTTAATTTCTAACCATCATTCACATCAGGCCAAAGACGCAACTTGTTTGGTCAACGATTCATCACTGTTATGATACCTCAGAACTTGGATCTAGCAGCCAGTTTTCTTTTTCTTGCTTTTGTTCTTGATTTAGAGAAGAGAAAAAATATCAAATCTTTGCTCGCAGAAGTATGATTGCCTTGCAATTGTAGTTTGTTTTCTACAGCACTCTTGAGTTTCCGAAACAGGTTTCGTGTGGACTAAAACAAAGGGTGATACTGAAGGCAGGCTCAAGAAATCCGAACTCCATCTGACAAACAACTAAATGAACTCTCAAGCAATCATCTTGTGTGCCTAACAAATCACAAGAGGTAATGCATTACTAAGAAGGGCCTGATCCATATAATCAACTCAATCTAAGATCACTGGCTCACTTTCCACTGACCCATTTATTTTCAACCAGCCGTGTCATCCACTCTCCAATTTTTTGGTTGCTCAAAAAATGGGAGAAAAGTATGCTAGGGAAATAATTTTCTTGGAAGCTAGAACTTCAGGATTCAGACCATCAGATCCATGGGCTTGTCATGTATCAACTGAAACAATAGCAGCAAGTAATTGCTCCTGTAACATTCAAAACCTTACTAACTTGGCAATGCTATGACCTCAATGCTACAGAAAAAAAAGCATTCATGAGAATGACTATTCCACCCAGTGACACCTCAAGTGTGTTGGTGACTAGTTCTGCTTTTTAGTCCTCCATGACTGATTCTGTATCCCTGGGAGCATTGTATATTGTAAATTAAACATTGTGAGTTCACTTTTTAAGTCATTTACCTTGCATTCATTGCAAGGATTCATCCCCCTTGTACTCATTTTGACCACCGGCCTCAAGTCCCTCCCTATATTCTGGTAGGCTTGAAGTATTGAGGTGCCAGAGGTACTGTCTCTGTTTAATCTGTCCTTTGACCCACTAATTTTAATATTTGTCAGAATTTTCACAGCAAATTCATAGAATAAAGTTCATGTGATCTTGCTAAATAATTTAGTAATATACAGTTATTGGAGAAAAATAATCATATGCTTCCATTATTTGCTCTTTTGAATTAGGATGCCATTATTCCAACTGATCACAGTGTTTAGACTGCATAATTCAGCTTCAAAGAGGAGGAAACATGGAGCACTTCAATCATCAGGGCCTCTGTTACATTATAAAGAACCAATTCTGTGATGAGAACTCACTCATCAGTGACAAGCTCTGCCGAATGAGAAGATCCAATTGCCTTATGGAATCACGAGACACTTGCCAGCACTTGCAAAGTCCTCATCAGGGCATTCGAGCCTTGCTTGTCTTCAGGTTGACATTCTATTGTAAGCAAGCACACCGGATGAGATTTTGCAGACTCAGCAAAATCTGTTTGCTATAGAAGTTCATCAAGCTGTTTAGACTCGGCAACGCATGATAGGTTGTATGCCTCGAAAAGTACATGGGATGTATGGGAACCACATCAGGAAACCAGTTTAATCCAGTTAACTCAAACCGTGGACAAGCATTTGGAGAGACAAGACAAACATTGCCTGATGGATTTAAAGAGAAAGAAATAGGAAACGAATTAGCCAAATCCTAAACTCAAACTACTCAAACACACTGCACTCTCATTCATGTGGGTTTGTCAGATGGAACTCCCATGGGAAGGATAAAGAAGGCGGACAGAGTCTCGACGGTGCATGATTGGCATGAAGTCATTAACAAGCTTAAATTCTAAACTACGTAAGCTCTTATGGAGGCAGAACAGTCAAGGCAAGAAGAAGTTAATGAAGGAAGAAGAGCCGAAAGAAGCCAGAACTGAAGGCAATGGGACAGGACTGTGTCAGGGAGGCAGCTCACATGGTCTCACGGCTTCTACCATGTGGCACTGCTGACAAAAACTCTGCTGCTGTTTGTCTTTTTCGTTGATACGATGCTTCACGCATTCACCTGCAACAAAGCATGCTACGCTTTGGAAGGAGCACCCACATCACAGGTGAGCAGAAAATTATCTCCATTGAGGCCTAAAATGTCCTCATGTCACTCATTTTTAATTCCTTGAATCATGCTCCTCCAATTATTGATCTTAAGAGTACATGCAAAAGGATGATGAAGAGATATTGGAACTTAAGGATCATCATGTCACACAAATTTGGATGATGAAGAAGAATGAAGAAGAAAAGACAAGGAGAATTCTATCAACACTTATTTGAATCAAAATAGAGGAAAGAAGGATCAGTTGAAAACCTTTGGAGACAAACAGAGAGGCTGGAGAAAAAGCTGGTTCTCTCCATTTCTCTGATGAGAGAAAGTTACATTTTCTCTATTTCTTCCTCTAGGATCGAATAATATCTTCTGAAAAAGAATCTCAACATTACTTCTTCTTCCCATGGATAGGGTAGACAATCTTATTGTAGAAATCCATTTTCTTCTGAAAATTGAAGGTTCAAATGTGTTACATTTACCCTTCATTTTTATTATAATTAGAACATTACAAACAATAGATTTTTGACAATGAAACACATTTACTAAAATTTTCATTTCAATTCCCCAAATCATCACCTAAACATGAAACTTCTATATTTTCCTGCAAAATTGACTACTGTCAGAACAAACTCCGGAATAAAATGAAGCCAACAGGATCATTGTCAGAAACATGCGTTAAATCCATTAATCCTATTTGTTAAGCCACTAATCTTCCACTTCTTTTCTTCATTAGAGAGAAAAAGAACTATCGCAACAAAAGATCTGAACCGTCCGGTCCTGAATCAAACGGCTCCCGTGGAACATAGGTCAACGCTGTTCGATAGATTCTCGCTCCCAGTCCCACGTTCTGTACGAAGTGCAGCGTCCGCGTGTCCTTACGAAACTGCCCGAAACCAGTAGTAGGACAGAATAGTCATTTGGTATATTGTTTGAGGGCTTTATCGTCATCTTATGCTATGATTTTTTCAAAATCGAAACACAGGTTGCCTACTTTGAACTGTGTGCCATTGACCGTCCGATCCATACATCGGACGGCATCCGAGAGCCAACAAGGAAAAAAGGAGAGAGGGAAAGATTTGTGGCCATCCGATCCCTTCTCCATCACCATTTATATGATGCCCCCAACCGCAGGTCTCCGCCTCGAGCCCTTCGCTATCCTCTCTTTCTTAGAAGCCGATCTGATCTCTGCATTCTCGCCGGTAAGCTCTCCATCTCACAAGCGATTCTTGCTTGCTTCAGATTGCTTCAAGGTCTTCGCTTCCCTGAGTCTTCTTCAAGGATCTTCCGATTTTACTCTGGTTTATTTTTCTCATTTGAAAACGGTAGGTCTTCAGTTGTTTCTCATGACTGTGGAGGGACCTGTTTTGGTCCATGTTCTCGTTCTTGGATCTGAGCTTGTCTTATTCTTTTGAACTCGACATAATGAGTTTTGATTTTTAGGTGATGTTGGAATCGTTGTGGAACATTTCATGGATACATGTCCTGATATTGAGTATGGTCTATCTGATCTTTGGGATGCTATGGTTTTGTGTTATTTTTCCGAGTGTTTGGTATTTCGCGGGCAAGTTTAACTTGAACTGTTCTACATCTTACGAACATTTCTTTTCATCTTGAAGAGAATTTCTAAGATCTTTATGTTTTTGTTTTTAGTCGAAACGTAGCGATTAAGTCCTCTCAGGTTTCTCGACAATGTACGGATATTGTGGTTTATTTGAGGGCTAATCTTTTGCTTCCTTGTGTTTTGATTTAGATAAAATGAGAGAAATCCTCCACGTCCAGGGTGGTCAGTGCGGTAACCAGATCGGTTCCAAGTTCTGGGAAGTGGTCTGCGATGAGCACGGTATCGATCCCACCGGGCAGTATACTGGGACGTCAGACCTCCAACTGGAGCGCGTCAATGTGTACTATAACGAGGCCTCTTGTGGGAGGTACGTCCCCAGGGCAGTGCTCATGGATCTGGAGCCCGGCACCATGGATAGCGTTCGAACGGGGCCCTATGGCCAGATCTTCCGCCCTGATAACTTTGTCTTTGGTCAGTCTGGTGCTGGAAACAATTGGGCTAAAGGTCACTACACTGAGGGAGCTGAGCTCATCGACTCAGTTCTTGATGTGGTCAGGAAGGAGGCAGAGAACTGTGACTGTCTTCAGGGTATATTTGACATCTCCTTATTATGTTGGTTTAGTTCCTTTATGTTCCATGTTGATGTCTTCTTGTTCTGGTATTATCTTATGTAGTGAGACGAGTTGGTGTTGACACTTTCTAGAGAATCGTTTCATTATTCACTTTATGGGCTAAACTTGATTGTCATATATGAATTTTGATTTTTTAAAATTTTGATTTTCTTGAAGTAATGGTGAGACTAATTTTTGTCTATTCTTTTTCTCCTGAAATTTATATTTGTTATATTCCATGTCTGATTTGCCTTTATGTTACTGTATTGATGGGCTTATGCATGTGATGTTTGAAAACCTGAGATTCTTATAGTTGCCTGCGTGGTCTTAATTTTGAAAGAAATCTTAGCTGTGAAAAAGATCAGGATGAACTAAGCAGTTTTACCACCAAAAACTTCCATTTCATTGTAAAAAATGCATTTGGACACAAAAAATCCATGTAAGTTCATGGAGTTGTTGATCGACCTTTGAGATTCTTGTGTTTGTTAAACTTGGTTTGATATTTTAATTGTGGTTTTGTTTTCATGAACTTATTTGTTCTCCCGTTATATCAGTTTGAATGTGCTTCACCTTATGCTGTTTAGATATGTTTCCATGTTATTTTTCTCAGGCTTTCAAGTGTGTCACTCTCTTGGTGGAGGAACTGGCTCTGGAATGGGAACACTTCTGATATCAAAGATCAGGGAGGAGTACCCGGATCGGATGTTGCTCACCTTCTCTGTTTTCCCTTCCCCCAAAGTTTCTGACACGGTTGTCGAACCATACAATGCAACCCTGTCTGTCCACCAATTAGTTGAGAATGCAGATGAATGCATGGTGCTGGACAATGAGGCCCTTTATGATATCTGCTTCCGAACTCTCAAGCTAACCACACCCAGCTGTAAGTCAACCAACTTAATGGATCTTTATTCTTGTTGGTGACTTATGATTCCATTTGGTACTAGACATTGGTAGCCAAAAATTGAATTTTGGCTATAATTGATAGTCAAGTCATGGCATTTTATTGAATCATATTTTCTTTACTGTTTGATATGACAAAAAACAAAGGCATAATATCTGTTAAATATAGTTAAATATAGTTTCCTAGTGATACAAGGAGCATATTATTTTCCACATTTTTGCATTAATCGTTGGACATATTCAGTCAGTCGCATGAACTTTTTCATTAGGTACTTCTGGTTTATGATAGTTTTGACATGACAGTCACTACGACTGGTTTTTTGCTTGAGCTTTGTGGAGTTTTACATTTATTCTGCTCAGTTTTTTGTTGGATTTTCCATGGGAGAGAAGGAATTGTACAAAAGAAATTTGAAAAGAATGGCAAAATGAAATGAATTCCTGGCCAAAAGCACATCTTTTGTTTTCTAAATTAACATAGCTTAATGAAATTACAATCATTATTATGTTTTCGGTCTCTGAGTACGTTTTCAACTTGACATTACTTTCTCTTGAGTATTTGAGTCAGTTACTAGTTCGACAGCAAATATTGTGATGCTCCTTATTTGTGGCAAACTCATTGTGCTTGTTATGTTTGTCTTTGATTTTGTTGCTTGTCTTTGTGTTTTTTTCTTTGGCACTAAGCTGACACATGGAAGAAATTATTTGGTTGTCATCAGTTGGGGATCTGAACCATTTGATATCTGCAACCATGAGTGGTGTCACATGCTGCCTCCGTTTCCCTGGTCAACTGAATTCTGACCTCCGAAAATTGGCTGTGAATCTGATCCCCTTCCCTCGCCTCCATTTCTTTATGGTTGGTTTTGCGCCGTTGACCTCAAGAGGATCACAGCAGTATCGTGCGCTGACCGTCCCTGAGTTAACCCAGCAGATGTGGGATGCTAAGAACATGATGTGTGCTGCTGATCCTCGCCATGGTCGCTACCTCACGGCCTCTGCTATGTTCAGAGGCAAGATGAGCACTAAAGAAGTTGATGAGCAGATGATCAATGTCCAAAACAAGAACTCATCTTACTTTGTTGAATGGATTCCTAATAATGTGAAGTCCAGTGTTTGTGACATACCACCCAGGGGTCTCTCTATGGCATCCACCTTCATTGGGAATTCGACGTCAATCCAAGAGATGTTCAGGAGGGTGAGCGAGCAGTTTACTGCAATGTTTAGGAGAAAGGCTTTCTTGCACTGGTACACCGGCGAGGGCATGGACGAGATGGAATTCACTGAGGCTGAGAGCAACATGAATGATCTTGTTTCAGAGTACCAGCAGTATCAAGATGCCACTGCTGATGAAGAAGAATATTATGAGGACGAGGAAGAGGAGGTGCCACAGGAGATGTGAGTAGTCTGAAGTAGTGGCTGTGGTTATTTTACAGTATTTCTCTTGGTATTCTGCTAAGGTGGAAGTAGTTTATTCCCTTGCCTCTAGGACTCTGTTATTTAAATATCTGTAGTATCAGTATAAACTGAAGCGGCTCTATGATGACGTATTGCTCAATTTGCTTATGCAGTGGTTCTGTAAGGGCTGTTGGATTTACTACTTAGGAATGTCTGTACTTTCATGTTTATGTTAATGGCATGATTATGAATGCCCGGGCATTAATCTATGGGTGGTGATCGTTCAAAATCATTTTTAACAGAAGTCGTAGTTTCGCTCGTTATTTTTTTGAGTCTTTTATGGATTTTCCTTTACCCTTTTTTTCACACATCCAGTCTTTTTCTTTTGACGTGTCCATAATTTTATTAACAATTATTTTTCATTTTATCCCCAATTAGCCGTAGTTGATATAATATGTCCATATTTCTTATACTCATAATATAATTTTTTAGTAAGGAGACTATTATTTGTAACTTTTTTTATTGTTTATAATTTTATTTTAAATTTTAAATATTTTAAAATTATTTTTTATGAATGAATATAAATATCTTTTTCTTTTTTATCCGATCTATCAGTGGTACAATCTGGTAATAAACACGATTCTAATCGTACATTAGCGTTATGTAGCACATCCACTTCATTTGAGTCTCCCGTGCGGACAACACGCGGAGCTCTTACAGAATTAGCTACCATATTGCCATAGTGGTAAAAGCTAGCGAAATACCGCGACCGAGCGGAAACCGGTACACGTTACGGTTGGGTCCGATAAGCTGGAACAGAATGTTGCGTCGCCAGGATGTTGCTACGTGGATCACGTTATTATAAGCTGCCAAATGCTCTGTGGCGTCGGCCCGACTCAAAGATGAGGGAGGATCAGAGGAAGCGGAGCCCCCACGACATCGACGAGCGCGAGTTCCGACGCCTTCTCGGCCTCCTTCCCGTCGTCCTGATCTCGAAACCACCGCGTAATCTTCTTCTTTCTGATGTCTGATTTCGATTGCGTTCTTGAATTATTGAATGATGTCCTTTCTTTCTTCCGTGGGTTTTTCGACATGTTCCACCTGTGAAATCAATGATTTCTTCGCTTCGATATAGCATTTGTTCCCCGATCATATTTCCTTTTTTTCCTCCTTGTTTGTTCTATATCTCGACTTAAATTTTACGTTACCTTAGGTTTTATTTTAGATGAATTTAGGGTGACTCTGTTTCCTCATGGCTGTTCTCTGGGCATTGGGTGATGTATGGTGTCTTTGATGCGGTGATGATTTGTAGTTAGCTCACCAGCTAGGTCTAGTGGCATGAAAGACATGTAATTATAATGTGCAAGATTGATGGATAGGGCGAATATTTGAGTTGATCTGGGACTTTCTGGAGATAAAGGCAATAATCAAATGTTCTTTGTACAATTTTGGAGTAACAATTGGAATGATAATGTTATACTGAATGATGGTTGTCAAATGATTCAAGAATTGCAGATATACTCAAGACAAAGCCATTACTATTCCTTCTTCTAATTTGTACATAAATGATTGGTGCACAAGAGTTGTTGTAGGGGCCTAAATTGGAACAGGCTTGCACTGGTTTGTGAATTTGGCACTAGGAAAATTGCTTTCGGAATATGCGGGGAGAAAAAAGAACTTTCTACTTCAAATCTCTAGAATCTTGGCAAGGCCTCCTCGCTTGTTTCGGTTGAAATCTGAGGAATTTTGTGATTTTATCTGGTTACTTGTCGATTTGTTGCAGGAGTCCCTGTACATGACACATTAGGTCTTAGTGAGTTGCTAGAAACATGGAATGTTGCATGTTAGAGAGGTTCGGTAATATTTGTTTCATGTACTAGAGTTCTGCAACTAAAAATATTAGCCTATCCTCTATAGAAGTGAAATATTTGATCACATAAAGATGATGTTGAGAAATTTTTTACTCTGAGGTTTAGCTACAAAGCCAATGTGCATTTGCCAATAACATGGGAATGAGAAGTGCTTGTTTTTGTTAGTCGAAAAGTGCTTCAATTTTATACGAACCGATCAATTTTGTTGACCGATGTACATGATTGAGAAGTAATTGTAACATCAATTATATTGATATTCTGGAATTACATAACAGAAGGGAAAAGAGAATTTCTGGAATCAAGTGGTTGAGAAAGATGGTTTAGCAGAAACTGCAACTGATGGTAAAGCCACTATAAACTAAGAAACTTACTATTATGTATTTTAAGGTAAGATGTAAGATGTCTGTTACAAGATCAGTATATCCTTATTATCTGCCATTAAATTGATCATCTCTTGAGCCCTGTTTGACTTCTGAAGAAGAAATCCCATGGACGCAGGACATGTTTTAAGAGTGGAGATGGAAGCTAGACTCTGAAGTATATTTTTTTTAGTCAGAATTCACTATTCCAGGAATATTGAGACTACTGTGGAAGTGACCTATCAAAGTTGTAAATCCCAAAATTCCAAATGTTGGGATTACATATGACCTGGGCGGTCATTTCCTTACCACATCTTGTCATCCTGGTATGATTCTGCACAAAAGTTCATCAATATTTATCCTCAACTATATGGATTTGCCACGAAGTTGTAATCTTCTGAAGACCAGTATGTTTTTGGTAGTTGTTGTGTCTAATACCAATAATGCTTGGATTCGGAGAACACAATGTAGGAGTCAATCCATTTTTTAGGCCTTGATCCACTCGAATGAAGAAATCATCTACAGGGTGTCAAGTGCTGGTTTGGGTAGTGCAGCAATCTTGAATCGTTCATGGGCTTTGTTCGGAGGACACTTGTGTCGTAAAAAGCCTGATCCCAAAACATGTTTGCACGTCTCAGTGGACCTGCTTGGCTTGCCATAGGGTGGAGCTTGTCACAGCCAATAAGCAACCTAACGTAGGAAACCAGAACAAAATCTTGTCTTTCGGTGACACTAATCTTTGCACAGCATCAGAAACAAAATATAAGATGTGTGATTACTGATTAAATAGGGCCAATTGAGTTTACCATGCGCAAAAGATGTCTGTTAAAGCAACATGACAGAAAAAACCTTGTCATTATTTGATCTTTATTGGTACAATCATTGTTCAACAAATTGTATGTTGAGTTCCATCAGATCTTATCTAAGAGCAGACATTTTCTTAAGGTTTTCCAGCAGTAAGTGCTATCTCGAGTCAGATGTTTCCGAGATATGCACATGTTTCTAGTGCTTGGATCACATATATATATAATGGATCATTTATGGTGTAGCAGTCTAGCAGTAGAGATGACTCGAGTTCAGTGATAACCCGTTTCAACCAAGCAAACAACAGAGACAACAAAGTAATTTACGAAAACCAAGCCCAGACTTGGGCAGAAAGTTTGGCATCTCTCTTTCTCTCTCATTCTTATATATATATATATATATATATATATATAGCTCGCGGCTGGGCAGCTCTCCCCAGGACAAAAAAAAAGGCTCTGAATTCAGAATCCAAAGAAGCTTCCAACAACAAAACTGTCATATTTAATTATAACTGGCACCATCACCCATGCAGTTTGACTCTCAATGCGACCTTGACCAAAAGGGTAACATGTTTGCAGACTTCTAGGTATCCCACAAGCCAAAACATGGAAACACCACCACCCATTCCCGTATATTAATTTCCTTGTGTCCAAGGGTTTGTAGTTTCCATCCTCACCAAGCTTCCTTTTCGCTTGTCCTCTACAAGAGTCAGACAGGAGCAGCATGAGCGTAGTTTAGAAGGATGGGTTTAAGGAAGGACATCATCTTCTCTTTAATCCTGTTGATGTTGCTGCAGTTGGTGACCTGTAGCTCATATGCTGATCGCTTCAATAGGTCCAGGAGACTGAGAGGTGGGTTTGGCTTCGCTAACTCGAGTCCTGTTCAACACAATGCAAGCTTTGGAGGAGAGACACAGAAAGGAGCAGATGGAGCTGTTGATGATGAGAAGAGGATGGTGTACACAGGACCCAATCCTCTGCACAACAAATAGAAAAATGGTCACAGCTTTTTCTTTCTTTTCTCTAAACTTTGTTGTTCATGTTAATTTTTTCCCTTTCCTTTTTGTAGTATCTGCAGTGATGTTAGACTGGTAATTCAACCGTTGTTTGTGATGTAGATGCAAGTATTTCATGATTCTTAATCTGCCTCAATAGAATGACACAGAAACATATATCTGCAAATACGATATTTTTTATCTGATGTTGGAATGATGTGCGTCCCCAAAGATTTTTTTTTTCTTTCAAATCTTCAGCTTTGGTTTCTTTTGATACAAAGTTCCTACTTAAGGAGACAAGACAGCAGAAGGGAACGCAGTGCTAGTTAAACCTTCAAGTTTCTTGATAATATTGGGTGTTATATTAGCTCCACGCTCTGTTCGTATTGTGTTCATGTCAACTATAACACAGTGGAAGCACAGTCCTTTCTATCTTCAGTTGTTGTCTAAACTGTTCTAAGCTTTTCTTCTTCTTCTTCTTCTTGTGCCGGAGTAAAAGGCAAGACACCATTTCCCCCTTTGTTTTTCCGCTTTTGCTTTATTGTAACCCTGCCCTATATACATCTATACTGCAGGTAAATGTTTGAGATCACAGTTAGATTATTGGCAGCCAAGTGAGCGTTATTACTGCTGACCGAAATGGTTAAAGTTGATGGAGATCGTCTCAGTCACACGCATGATGAGATTCAACCATATGATCGGTAGAGTTGATCTCAACCTGTCCCCCTTGCCGTGGTTATTGTCCTTTTTATATCTGCGCCGGTTCTCTTCTCTATTACCCTGATGTGAGGACATAGTGTATTATAATAACACGAAACTTGCTGAACTTTGTAGACACTGCTCTGGTTTTATCACAGCAGAGGGATCATCCACAGATTAACAGCTTCTAGTTTCTTGCAGAGAAGACATGAAATCTGCCTGCCCCCGAGAAGCGATCTTAAATCGGGAAGAAGCTTTGGGCATTAGTTTCGGAAAACATTGTTCTGTGACAAACGTAATTTGCACAAGAGACAGGTAGAAGAGCCCACAGGTACTCGTGACCAGTCGGTACGTGATTACATGCTCAAGCAGACGATGGATGGCAGAGAAAGGGCATCCAAAAGGCTGCTTTACGGTTCCATCTTGTAAGGTCAGGGTGATGCTTCCAACACAGTAGATGAGACAGTTTTGAAAAGGAGGGAGGCAATTAAAAGACTGTCTTTGGCGATGCATGGCTGAGGGTGGAGACATGTAGATGAGGCAGGGAGTGAGTACCCTTGGTAGGATGTACAACCTACTAAGAGCACAATAAATGCGCTCAGCGGAGGCTACCGAGAAGCGAGAGCAGCTCCGGACACAGAAAACAATCCCCAAGAAAATCTATACTTGTTAACAGATCTGACAAGTCTCGTCATAGTGAATACTTGAAAAGTCTGCCTTTCTTGTAACATTTTCTGCTCTACATTTATTGCTCTCTCTGTCTCTGTACATCTCTGTGTCTCTACAGATATCTCCTCCTTTGGAGACAAAACACCGGAGATTAGAACATACATGTCCTCTATTTATGGTTCCCCCAACTATGCTTGTGAGTGTGGAAGTAAAGTCTTGTCCTTTTGTGTGGTCACATTGTCAACGCTTAATTTGGTATTGGTTTATAATCCTCTCTCTGTGTTCTCCTCTTCCAAGCTTGCATATGACTGCCCCCAGGGATCTGCATCGACCAATGTGGGTGGGGATCAGAGATGTAAAGATCCCCTCTCTTTTTTTTTTCCTTTTTTTTTTTCTCTTCACATCTTTTTAATATAAGAAGAAAATTAATTCAATGCTCGAGATCATATTATAAAACAAAAGAAAAAAGGCTGGGCCAAATCTTATGAAATTAATTAATTCAATCAGCTGCAATAATGAAGATTCAGGCGTTTTGCATGTAATTGGATATCAGCTCCCGTAAATGAATCAAGCGTTTTGCATCTTAAGTATCAATTAAATTTTGTAAAAAGAAAATTGCCTTCTTAAAAATAACTAATCAGTTCTTGAATTAAAGATGAATTATTATAGATATCGAGTATTTTATTATTTATAAAATCTAGGATTGATTACATGTGGATGAGTCCAAAAAATCAAATAGTTTGCTTAATGCAACAAAATAAAGTGTCGAAAGATTTAAGCCCTTCTTTTATATATAATTTTAAAACATAACATAAACATCCAATATTAAAAAAAATACTTCTAATTTAGGAATAGATGTAGTATTGGCAAACGCATAATCGAAATCAATTGAAGAAAATTTCAAAGTCTAAATGATAATCCTTCAAAATAGTTTTTATATTTCTGTAGATATTATCAAAAACTCTAAACGTAATAAATCTTTTTTCATAATCTAATTACTATCTATCCAATGATATGTGATTTTCACTTTGGAGTGCATTTGCTAATGGATTATTACTTTAAATATTATAACAAGAAATAGATGCGAATAACCTTTTTTTTAAATAAGAGGGAAGAGGGAGAGGACAAGATTAATTAATTTCGTCGATAATCAATCTGTTTGCATAGTCAAGGAAATAAAAATTCTATAATGATTTTTTTTTCTTGCTCGGGAGATGAATAAAACAAATAAAGCACAAATCTAATACGAGATTCTTAATTTTGTAAAAAGAGAAAAAAAAAACTGATGATTACAGAAAATCCAAACGAGGAGGGAATGAGAGAGTGCACGAACAGTGAAAAACGTAGCGGGGAACGACTCTGGAAAAGCCCAAATGCAGTTCTTGGAATTCACCCAACATCATCGACCGATATTATTGCTATGAATCCCCGCATCCGTTCTTCTCCTTGAAACCCTCTGCTTTCGTTGTTGTGCTTCTGCAATGCTGTGGTTACCGCCCGACGATCCGAATAAGGACTCTCGGATTCTCGCTCGCTTCGCCATCGATGAACACAACAAGGAGGTATAAGTTACTTTATTATTTGGATATTATGTTTCTTTTTCCCTTGCTAACTATCATCCAGCTACAAAATTATCGGTTTCTGATCGTTCGATCAAATGTTTGTTTGTTGAGCTTGATTTTTCCGTTCTGCCTCGTCGAATTGGTCGTTCTGGGTTTTAATCTGCTTACGCAATTTTCACTTGCACCATTTGTAATAAGTTGCCTTTTCTAATAAGTACTTTTATAAAAAAAAATATACTATTTGTTGTTGTCTTTGATGCCGTCGATCGGGAGTTGGCATGACTTGGTCTTGACCCGAAGGCGTGAAGTCGTCTGAGTGGCCCTCACGATAGTCTAGCGGAATGGTGCTATGGAGGTGAGGTGACCGAGGTTGGTCTTCGGGTATCCGAGGCTAAGCCAAGGTAGGTTCAGATATCCTCAATGATCCTATATAAGGGTCGATGTCATGAGGGATTTTTCGATCCGATCTATCTGACACATAAGTTAGCTTTGTAGAATAGTCGAGATAAGAAAGTTTTCTATGTGAGAAGTCCGACCCCCGAGAAGGCGCCAGAAGTTGGCTTTTATACATGGGTAATCGTGAGGACCATTTGTGACTGACACAACGTCCTCCTCTTGTCGTTTGCTCACATAGACGACTAGCACGAATGGCCCCCTACGACTTATCACAAAGGGAGAGTTGATCTCATTGACCACTCGAGGACCATCACCCTCGGTGGTCGATAGGATCAACTCGAATAGCTTCTTGTGGACAGTTATTCATCAGAGTCGACAAGTCGTTACTTCTCTCATGTTATGACTGAGTGGGGGGAGATGATCTAACCTTCATTCTCTCTGTATCAACTCCTATGTGACGGTACGAGTTATGATTAACGTCAGAATATTCTTTATCATTATTTATTTATACTATTATAGATAATCTCTTACTATTTATACTCTTAAAAAATAATAAAATATTATTTTATTATTTATAACTCATGTATTATCGATTTTACCTCTTGAAAGCTACCATTAGATGTTTGGTCTTGCACATCTATTGATTGCTCGCGGGTTGCTCCAACCATTGCTGATGTCACGTGACAAAGAGGACGAAGAGAATATTTATGTACATTTGCAAAGAGATAATTTATAAATATTAAAAAATAAAAATAATATTATAAATAATAAAATAGAGGTTGCAAATAGTAATCTTCCGTCAAAATTTCTTATGATATTAGATGGAAACGATTTTATGCTATCTCTTACGTTGTTGAAAATTCCTCTCTCTCTCTCTCTCTCTCTCTCTCTCTCTCTCACACAGACACACAGACACACATACACACATTTCGTTCTTTATCATCGGTTTCGTATTGCATCAAGAGGAAGAAATAAAAAAAACAAACAAACAATCTATTAGTTCGATGTTCATGTTTTTTATTTGTTCTTGCATGTGTTCCCTTTCACAGTGGGAATTTCTTCGCTTGCTGCCCAATCTGATATCTTCCGTTCTCTCTCAACCTCTTCTGTAAGAGTTAATCGTGTCCAAAATTCTTGCCCATGGATGCAATCGGTGTAGTGGTGGTTGTATCTCACGTAAAACATCTTGTGTTATAGAGTTCGATCTTCTACCTCGCAGAATGCGCTTCTGGAGTTCTCTCGTGTGGTAGAGATGAAAGATGAGTTTTCCCACCTTACACGTCATATTTCTTGGTCAAACCATTGTAAGAATGGCTCCATATAATCTAGTATGGACCTGGGTAGCGTACAGTTCCTGTAGACGATCTGGAGGTCAAAGAAGCAGCAAACACCGTCATGCGGTTGCTCCAGTCGTTCACTAGCACAATATAATATACCCTTGTAAACTGATGGAGATCCTTCATCCAAGAGCAGAAGATGTTAGGCTTCTCGTCGTCTGTGATATCGTGCTACTTTATATTATGAATCGTGTTTCAGTTGTTCTTGTTAACGTAGGGTTTTCGATTCACAGGAGGTGATCGAAGAAGAAACTGCGAACATTAGCTTCGCCGTTAACGCAAGGCGTGGAATCGAGTACAGGTTTGCGATGCACAGATTACTCGACGGTGCTTTTTATGTGTATTGGATGGAGTGGCCTCATCGGCACTAGTGGTATTTTCTTCAACTAATACGAAGTAAATGTCATCCGTATGTGTGTTTGTAAAGCATGCTGCTTTACTGGGAGTTTTGACTGTAGCACCCACTCTTTCGTTATCTGGAGAAGACAGCAATGAATAATGTGTGAAATAAACCATTCAGAAGCCTCACTAAGAAGAGCTCCCGAGTGATGACAACAAAAAGACAAAATCATCAGTAAAATTTCCCCGACAAAATCCAATAAATAAGATCGATATCTCATTGCTCTCAACTTTTGAACCTAATGCTACGGCTAACACTGGTGTTGATTCCAGTGGCTTCTCCACCGTATGGGCCAGTTGGCTTTCTGATGTCACGTACTTGGCCTTTTCGCCGTATAAGTTGCTTTTGGTGTTTATGCTGCAACAGCAAACATAGCATTTAGTCTAAACTTTGATATAACTTTCATCCTAATCGGATAGATCAATCATATCAAACCGGAGAAAGATTACCCTGTATTTCTTTCGTGGATTTTTGAGAAGCTTCTTTCGGGGGCGAGTTAGTCCTCTATTCTTTTCCATCTGGTCCACAGATTGATTGTAAGTCATAAAGATGTTAAATTATCCCACATAAAATCCATGTTTCTATAAGAGCGGGTAGAACTGACCTGATATGTGATCTGCCTCTTACCATCAGTTTCAGCTTCCACAAAAGATGGAACAGCTAGGGTTCTGTAACATATCAGAGGGCTCAAATGAGATATTCGTCAGCCAATTCATAAACAATGTAATGAGAAGCCCATTTCTTGCTTACCCTGAATATTTTTCTGATTTAGCCCTGAGCTTTTCAACCCTTTGCCTTTTCACCTCTTTATAGAATTCATCTTCCGATTCTCCTGTTTCATCAATATCTTGATCCTTGACATCCATGGACCTGGTTCCAAGACCTCCATCTTCATCTTCCATCAGATCACTGTCATCTACAGCCCCTGCCCTTGCAAGAACTCGTAGTTCATGTCTTCGCCGCCTTTCACCAATATCATCTCTTTTTGGCAAGTCATCGTCACCGGATACGATCTACGTAAACAATAAGTTCAAAATTATGCTACTAATAATGATCCCAAGTGCTTTCCACGAAGAATGAAACTCACAGGTAGCAACAAGTAATGATTCCACAAATAAAATATTAAGGACCACAAGAAACGAATGAGAGTAATAAGAGTACGCAATACGGACAAACTTCTCGTATCGAAAGCAGAACATATATATCTAAGCTAGTACTGCTACATATGTAATTACTAACTGAGTTTTGCACAATACTTTATCTTTTTTTAATACATTTGTGATTTTTTTGCATTGGAAATTAGTTTGGAAACTGCACTACTACAAATAAATGTTTCCACCATTAGGATAGTTATGAAGCATATGATATTATGATAGTTGTAAACCTTATTAGAACATGAATCCTTCATGGTAGTGCCTACAATGTGCATGTATCTATGTGGTTTGCACAAGCCCTAGCCATGCCATGCCTTTGATACATGAATAAACAATCAACAACGTTTCTAGATAATGAACCACAAGAACTGGGAAAATATGAAAGCAAATTCTACACTACACAACTGTATCTTTGTTGAGTAATGTTGCACGTAAAACTCAGCAAAATCTGTCACTCAACATATCAGATATCAGTATGCAGAACAAGTTGGACAGATCAATAATGATTTTGAAGATGTTCCAGTTGTGATCACAGGCATACCTTGGACTTGTTTGCTTTAGTTCCAACAAGCTGAGACAGTTTTCGTGACTCTGACAAACTTTCAAAATTCTTGACTGCTGTGTGTTTAATTTCATCATCAAAATCATCCAATGTCTCAAGCTGTCTGTTAAAAGTTTAAAGGTTCTTCAGATTAACCAAAATGTAAGGTAGATCTAATCTAACCAATTTAGAAAAGCAAGCCTTTTGATGCTTGAATAGTGAAACAAAGCCACACAGAAATACCCATTAACTGCCTTCCGAACATCCTTTGGTTTTGTTAAATTGTAAATGCCTTTCTTCTTCAACTTTGCTTCTAGGTTTTCTCTCACTTTCAGCATTTCCAAGCTTTGTAGGCCCATTTGAACATCCTGGTTCATCATTTAACACTGTTAGTTCACTATCAAAATGCAATACTTAGATGACAACCATCAGATTTTAAGCACGTAAAAGTCGTTCAGAAGAACCTCTTTTTTCTGACTGACACTTGCATTATGAACATCCTGTGATGATTTGCTTTTTTCAAAGTCCTGTAAAATTATTTATAATGAGTGATTAATTGAATATTGCATAACAAAAGATAGATGTGTTGTTTTGACAAATATAATGGTACTTTAATAGGTTTTGGTTGTTGGCCTGTTGTGACAGGTTTGACTTCAAGTGGAACATTTCCTCTTGTCAGCACATTTTTCAAGCTATTTATTGCCATATCCTCAAGCTGTGGATGAAGATTCACATCAATCTGCTTCATCTGCTAAAAAGACAGGAATCACAAGTAAATACATAAATTATTTAAAGAGGCAACCTAGAACAAGAAAAAAATCAGAGAAGGAAGAAAAAATAAATAGCGAGAAGAAGAGGGGTAAAAGCTAAAAAAAGAGAAGTGGTTCATTTGTCCATATTTTACCAAGGTAGAAACAGACCTTTTCCAACAAGTTCTTGATCTCCACTAGTCGAGCTATTACTGGATGATCTCGAACAGGATGTCCTTCCGACTTGAGAAGAAGATAAAAACTTATTGACTGGCAATAAGTCAACAACAAAACTTGTTTCACCTCCAAAAAGTGCATTCCTACCCTACCTCTCTCAGTTGTTTCTCCAACCTGTAAAAGAGACATTCACCATAGTCGAACAATCATAGAACTGGTCTAGTTTTGTCGAAGGAAATACAAGTCATAAAGTCCTTAGTAACAAAAACAAGACAAATAAAACTAAAACCTTAAATCATTTAAAGATTTTAAAAAGGAGCCACAAGATATATAAGATTAAATTTCATCCAGAAGAAAGTAAGAAGAAGCTTGATCAATCCATTATATGACACAAAGATCATTGTACTGCATCCCACTATGCTTATATCATGCTCCCTGCTAATGTCTTGAAGAATAATCACTGATTGTGCAAGAATAACCACGAATTCTTTAAAGAAATCCCAGCACCACCATAACAATGATTGTAGGAAAACTAAGTCAGAAACCTGATCATGAACAATGGCAAGAGGTTAAGGGCACAGTTGAATGGTACATAATGCATTGCTGAACTGTAGCAACTTTCAGTGGGATCAGCTCATGTCAGTTTAGTAAGATGTTAAAAAACCCTAGTTTGAATATTATCATCTGCACTTAAAGAGATAAATAAATCTAGCCATCAGAGAAAGGAGAGGAAGCTACTAGGAGCGGTAGCATGGTTCAGTTTTGAAATTAGCAAGGTTCCAGTAACATAGTCCATTTGACCACTTGATCTGGTCAAGGCATCAAACAATGGTCACTGTTAACATAGCTGTTCTTATTAGTGGTCAGCGTCAACGATACACTTCAAAGTTATCCGCAAAAGAATGATCTCTCTGATCATGCTGATTAAGTGCTCACCTTGTGTACAATTGGTTTTACTTCTCGAACTTGGTCTAGAGCATCATTTAATTCTGCAAGCAAGCCGACTAATTCAGGAGCAGAACTGCAAAAAGAAATTATGGAACTCAAAACATATAGAAAAATATATATAATATCACAATATTATGCTCATAAACAGCAGTATAAGCAATAGCATGTATCTACCAATAAGCCTGCAACACTTTAACCGTAACAAATTCTGTGGCTGAAGTGCAAATTAAAATTTTATATTTCTTATAGCTGTAGATAATCTGGTTCCATAGATCCCCTCTTTTCTCTCCTCAAAAGCTACAGTTGAATAAGGTGGCAAACAAAATGTTATTCTGCTACTTGCCAGAAAATAAAGAAAATGCAGCTTGCACATGGTGCCAAATAACTGTTTAAGCAGCACTATTGTACACCCAACAATGTACTTATAGTCTGAAAGGATAGGCCCACGGTATAAAGCTCTTACCAATGCAGGTCGACGCATATTTACTAAACTACACATAATAATGAGAGGGAACAATCCAACACAAAAAAATATTATCACAATATCACCATAGTAGTCTAGCGGACACTACATTCACTTGAAACATGTGCATCCAATTGCGAGCTGTTTTGTCTTGAATTATTTGCATTCACACACATAAAAAAAGGAATACAATGTCAAACATGCTTCCAATACCAGATTATCACCGAACTTGTCTTATTGCAACCAAACTTGGCCCTAAGATCAAGTCAAGTGCATCTAGCTATAAGACGGGAACTTATGCACATATAAATTATCCAATAACCATAAATTTTCATTTAATTACACTAAAGTTATATTAAGAAATTAAAAAAAAATTGATTAGATAATAATGAACCTAAATCAATTCTAATCCGACCTAACATGACCCTCAGTAAACTTACAATCACATTTTCAATTTAACAGACAATTTAGCTAAAGGGTGTATGTTTTGATCCAAAAAGTAGAATCAGAAGTCTTTTCACCTTTTTAATTTTAGAACATGACTTGATTTAAAATTTTGATAATAGTTATCAATGAATGATAATAGTTATCAATGTGGACTGGTATTCAAAGGTCTGATGCTGACTGGTACTCGAACTGAGCAATTTAATAAAGTCAAATCTGAAACTAAACTTATCACCTAATAGGTTAACCATATCAGGCACACAGGATGGTAATCTGACCGGTACCAAGTTGTACCATTGATGGTCCCATTTTTATATTCTAACATTTTTAAAAGTTGTTGACACTTGACAATGAGAAATACTTGTGTTGTCTTTTTTCTCTCTCACTCTCTCCTTGCCGACTCTTCTTCTCCTCCTCTACAACCACCTCTTCTCTCTCTCTCTCTCTCTGCTGGTCAGATATTTACCGATCAGCAACACATACCAACACTAGGTACACTGTATGGTACCAATGTCACACTGATCTGGCCACCAATAAATATGAATATTGAACCAAAATTTTAATCCTTGTGATATAAACTCAATCTTGATATGTTGAAGCCCAATATCCGGAATTAAACCTCTATCATCTACATGGATTCACAATTATAAACATAGTTTTTCTATTCTATTTTGAAGAAATACAATCTCATTTTTTGTCCTCTTATATCACCTCTTCCTTCTCTTTAGTGCAGCCCTACCTGCAATAAATGTTGCTTCTTTTGGTCAAACGAGAATCATTTTAAGGACATTGTCTTGAAATGTAAATTAGCATGATGGCAGCACTGCCACTAAACTATAATGAAACTGAAGAGCCATACTCAATTTTTCTGATAAAATATTAGACATGAATCAGTAACATGCATCATCATATATGCTCTAGAAGTACATAAACCATATTTAAGAGTTGTATGCGAGATTGATCATTGTTTCATGCAAACGGCAATGATTTTCAAATTTTCCAAGAGCCAATTAGAGAAGATTCACAAGTTTAGATGCAAAGTTAGGACGAGTACCTATATACAACATCCATCTGCTCCTCCTTTGACAAATCAGTAAAATCTTTCTTAATTTCCTCATAATTTTGATACGAATTGTCATCATCTACAGCAGATCTTCTTCCCATGGCTGTCTTCCCAACTAAAGCATCCTGCTAAGTGAAGCATTGCTTTTATAAGATACATTTGAATATAAAAATTAGGAAAAAAAACCTACCCAAACTTAGCATTTTGAAATATTCACTCTAAATTGTTGTACTCTGTGGGCAATTACTGTATAATAGAAATTTGTCTGATTAAACAGATTAACTACTTGATGTTAGTAATCATCAATCTAGTCAATACTTTCAAATACTAGGCATTTAAGTTTCTATATGTAGAAAGAAATGACTTACAAAGCAAAATATGTAGAATCAGTACCTGATGCATGTCATTCTGCCTATCAGAATCACTTTCATCTTGTTCATTATTTTCGAGGCCAAAGTCTTCCATTGAAAGGGTTTTTGCCTTCTCTCTCTGGATCTTCAGTACCTCAGCCTCCTCCTCCATGGGAAGGTCTTCATCACTTGATTGGAGCTTTCCATATCATATAAATGGATTAAGCCATCAGAAATCCTGCAAGCTTCGTACTTGGAAGAAATATGAAACAATGGACAAGATTCACTACCTCATAGTCAACATTGTCAGCATTGTAATACAAACTCTTCCTTCTACCCCATATAGCCTTTCTTTCTTCTTCTTTCTCTTCTTCATGATCATCCATCTCATCATCATCTCCTCCGAATTTCTGTCGAAGATACTTTGCCTGTCTTGCAACTGAATAGGATAAAATGAAATGAACATAACTTAGTCGTCAATGTAAACACTAAATAACATATACAAAAGGGTAGTAGGCCTCAAAAACTATATCCTCAAGCACATAGTTCTTTCAATGGAAACAAATATCTTCGTATTAAGCATCACAATACTACTAAAAAAGAATGATGGTTATGATTTATTGACTGCAATAGAAATAATATAAAGAAAGTAGTCTAATTATCATGGGTGCTGAGTAACACAACTATTAACCATCCATGGCAACTTGAAGCTCTAAATCAACCTGCTTGGTCTTTCAACTACTATTGGTGCTTTGCTGCACACTCATCCATAGCTCCTCTTCAGTTGCAATACCCCAAATGTTAATCCCAAAATTATTCTCTAGAATCTCCAATTGGGCAGTGAAGTTAGTGTTCAAATTGAGTCAAGCCACTTTCATTTGTTATCAATATGTGTCAAAACAAGGCCAAAATAACACAACTAAATGAACTTTAACTATGACCTTCCCTTACAAATTAGAACATCTATTAATTATCAAATGGTGAGTTGAGTGTAGCATAAAATACCTCCAAGACAACAATATATTCAATAAGAGTTTTCAGTCACCTTTCAAGAAGCTTAAATGAGGCCTTCTTAGGTTACAACGATACTAACCCTGCATACAAATTATAAATCTTGTTTCAGGCAATTGGACAGCACTTGTTTCCTAATGAAAGGGGTGGTGATGAAACCACCTGTATCAATATGGAACAAATTTTCTTCTCATGCCTGCTTGTTTTTATCAAATTCAGGCCAGCTCCACCGTGTCGATCCACATGAACATATCAGACTGAAATTAAACCATTTTAGTTATTTGAAAGTAAATTCCCCAACTTTCCTATCTTTTAACCCCATTTTCTCTTGTTGGCTGTCAATGCTGCACCACAAGAGAGAATCAGACACATGATTAGCATCTGACAGCATCAATTGACTGCTCAAGGATGAGAAGTCACCCAAAGAACAAATCCTGGACGAAACCACCTCAAAGGCAACATGTGCACCTTTTTGAAGGGTGTTATTGATTAGGTCTTGGACATTTTCCCTCACAAGGTATTGTCACTGGTACCTGTGAGGCATGCAATTATGTCAAGATTTAAGCTTCTCCCCTTATTTGCTATTGGCAACATATGTATCATATAATGTCAGCGCATCACTCACCAACATTACAAGCTGCACCAGACACCAGCTAGAATAGAAGGTGCTGAAAGCTCTTACAGAGGAAAAGTTATCACTCAACTTATATGATCTAGTCTATGTGGTGTGGAACTATATGCTGCTGACATATACAGGCATGAATAAATTGACTTATCATTTATATTTCTTTTTAATTCAGCAGCAATAACACAAGAGGCCAAGCATCATAGTCTTATATAACACCATTCACCAAATCATATATGAACTTATCTGCTCTTCCAAAATTTCATGATCCTCATCTTCATCAAATAAATCTTATGCCCATTACTGGATAATGATACATCATCCAGTCCCCAAAGACTATACATTGGAAAACTCTTATGCCCATTACTATCGTTAGTTCCTAGTGTCAAGACAGTTTTTTAAGACTCACTGAATTTCTTAATACATATTGAACACATAATGCAGGTTCAGTGGTCCACATGTAATACAAGGTTTTAAATACATCCAAAATATTTACCTAAATCAATTGCCTTCCTATAGATAAATAGCTTTGATTGTCATGTTAGCATACCAATAGCATGGTACATGTTGTGCACAGTGCTATCCTTGGAAAAATTATCTAGAGGAAAGGATGTGTCAATATTTCATTAATGGCACAATAGCCCCCACCCAAATGTGCCACATCATGTTTGATACTGGTCAAAAAAATTTCACACTCACCACTATGAATCATGTTAGATACAAATCCAACATGTCTCCCATTCAAAGCTTGATCACTTCAAAAACAATTTCTGTACATATAACACAAAGTGAGAAGTTGACTTTATCTTTTGGTTTCTAAGCCTTCTGATCAGCCCCTCTTATAACATTGCACATTCTCTGATTTTTAGAACATGTGTACTAAATGTATTACAACTATCTTTTTCCTATAAATCAAAATGCTCTGTGTGTCCCCTTGCCCCAATGAACATGCACATGAGTTTGGCTTCATTTGGCAGTTCCTCCGTCAGTCACTTAGTTTAATCAGTATTTTACCTTTTTTTTCATGTTCCTCAGACCAACTTTAGTGATCATGAAACAGCTAACACTGTTGCCACCAAGTGCTTAATTTAAATTTTTGTCCACATGACCCATGTCAATAACTTTGAGAATAGTACAGTCAAAGCTGTCATCTGGTTCCAAGCCAACTAGCGCCAGGCAGCATTTTCTGTAAGGGCATGTCTGCACACCACAGAATGGGATATATGTTGTACTGGTATCATGGTATGAGATCCAAAATTCTTTTAAAATGGAAACCATGAATATTAAATTATGTCTTTAAACACATTTTCAATGCCATCTTAGCTCTATAGAATATTTCCCATCACTAGTAATAATCTCAACATTATGCCCTGCATCACTAAAGCACAAAATATCTTTCTTCAGCAGTAAAGCAAGAAAAAAATAAGATTATAAAAAATCACAGTGATCTACAGCAAAAAATAGATGTTTCATCTCATAACAAAACCAGTCCATGTATACAATCCCTATACTAAGCATATAACTAAGTCCAAATTAGAGTTTTAAATCTATGCCTAAAAGAATATGTAAGTTTTGTATATAGAATAAGGCTTCTTTTTTTGAAGAAGAAAATCACACTTACTTTTTGCAGCAAAGCCCTTGTCTTTGATGTTATCATTAATTCCATCAGATTCCTCACCATCATCATCACTTCTGGAATTATCACTATCATCCTCATCAATACCCTATACACCACTGAAAGAATAAGTACCAGAAGAAAGTATGGTCTTAAATCAACCATAAGAAATAGATAAAATAAAACCAGATTAACATATTTATTAATACTAACAAAAGTTGACACACTTGTTAAGAAGAAATGTTACTGTATGTAAATCTGAAGTTCTAAAAAATGGGCCCTCAATCTTAAACGAGAATTATGACTTGCAAGAAAATCAGCATTATGACTTCCAAAATGTATTTCTCACCTCAAAATCAAAAACAGGCTCAATCAAATCTTCATCCTCAGATTCACCTGTCATATACATATGCAAAATGAAATTTACAACACTAGAAACTATAGAATCCGAAAATATTTTTTGTTGGAAACAAGTCACCGCAATCATCTCCAATCTCACCATTAACATCGAGAGGCACAACATCCCGCTGCTTATGAACTGCACGTTTGAATTATTGAGATTATTAAAGACATCATAGGAGATGGGTAAAAAGAGCAAGAGTGTAGGGCCAAGTATCTGTTTTGTACAAGCGTCAATTTCATCATCGATGTCATCCTCTCTAAAAGCATTGTTTGTAGAATGGTTCTTGGCTGAGCTTCTCACAGCTTTCCTTGAAATCTTGGTTCCTTTTCCCATCATTCAAAATGCCTGAGTAAAAAACCATGATTCAGAATTTAAATGAATCAAACAAACTTGAGTGTTCGATGACTTCTTATTCATCCTCACTTCAATACTCAACAATAAACTTCAAGATAAAATGTGGTTTCAAAGATGTACTAAAGCGATATGCAAAGATGATTCTAAAGCATGGGAACCAGCCCCATGCGGTCTATGGCAAGGCCAGTACAGGTTAGATCTATATCGGCTTACCGACAGAGTAAATCTGTACATGCTACAATAACAAAAGGGGGGAGAAGGAGAGGAAGAGGTGGAGGAAGAGAAAGAGAAGGATGGAGAAGGAGAAGAAGAGGAGGTGACGACAGCAGAGGAGGAGATCAAGGAAGAAGATGAGGAGGAGCAGGAGTGCTGCTTGGTAGTGTTGTCAAAGGCGCTAAGCGGTAAAAGGCATCAAGGTTCCAAAACACCAAAAGCACTCGCCTGACCGAGGCGAGGTGTTCAACAATATAAAAATTATAAAAAATAAAAATAAAAATCGATAAAATAAAATTAGACATAATATGAATTCCATATCATTTCAAAATTCAAATTATCACCACTAAAACAACGAATTACTTTCATCTAACCATCTACAAAAAATAAAAAACATTAAAGTAGTAAACTGTCCTAATCTAACAACAAAATAACCAAACAAAAGAAGATTAGCATCAAGATTAACAATGCAAAATTCTAGCAGTCATAAATACAGTAATTAACACAGTTCATAAACTATTATTCGCAAGCAATTACCAATTATAAACAAAAAATTAACACAATTTTGCAAGGGAGGGGACTGAGGATAGAAGCAGGTCGGCTGAGAATAGGGGAAGGCAGGGGAGGGAGGCCGATAGCAGGCGAAGGCAAGGATGCAGGCTGAGGGGCTAGAGAGGCGGTTAACAGTAAGTCGGAGAGGGCCGTCAAAAGAAAGGGAGAGGCAGCCACGATGCCATGCAAAGCAGAGGCAGAGGAGAGGGAGAAAAGACTGCTGAGAGAGAGAGAGAGAGAGGGCTACCCCGAATCCTGCTATCAGCCTCCCTATCACCGGGGGAAGGGGTGCGGACTCCTATCACGGGGGAGAGGGATAGAGAAAGCCAGCGAGTAGAAAGAGGGAAAGGGCGTTGAGAGCGAGGAGAGGGAGGAGGGGGGGGCGGCTGTTGCAGCCGCCGGAGAGAGGGGGAGAGGGAGAGAGGAGGTACCGGGGGAACGCGCCGCGCTGCACTCGCCGCTGGGAGAATCGTTCAGGTCGCCGGCCGACTTGCACCGTACCACGGTTGGAGAGTCGGGGATGCCGATAGGGTTTCCAGCACGAGGGAGAAGAAGCGCTGCGGAGGGTTTTCAGTTTGGTATTAAACAACTTCCTGGTTAAATCCAGCCAGTGTTCAACTCAGGTGTGATCACATCGGGTGCCGTGCATGGGCCGCCCAGGCCCAGGCCCAGGCGTCGGCCCAGTCAAAACATATGCCCAAATTCTCACTTGGGTCCTCCTCTTCCTGAAGGTGGTCATGTTACATAATGAATCAACCAACATATGCCCAAATTCATATTTATGCTTAAACCAGAACTTGTAAGTATTTACATCCAAGAAGATCTCAGCCAAGAAAATATTTGATAGCGTACAAAGCATATATGAAAGAGCATACTTCTGCATGGCAACCAGCATCAGCATAAGGCAAGTGGTTGTGTTATTTAGGACTCCATGGAACCAGAAAAACTTGCTGGTATCCAAGCGTTGCATGAAATCTGAGACCCCAACACCAAACAGTTGAGCAAAAATTGGCATTTTGATCAGTAGTCCAAAAGAATTTTGGTTGCGACAGCTACAGAAATGCTGCTATGTAACACCAAAAGTGAGAAGTTCAAAATGTAATTTACATTGAGCTGCGTGTGTTCGACATTACATTATGTAATCTGCTGAGCCATGAATTAGCTCTGCTTTGCCAACAGCCAAATAAAAAAGATCACAATGTGTACTGCATCGCATCATTTTTCAGCTACATGCCTCCTGGTTCATGTCTTCTGATTCCGAGCCACATGCACCACCATAGACAGTGCAGGTAATAATTTTTGACACAACGAGTTCCGAGAAGCTGAGAGGCCTGGAGCAGAAAGGGTTAATGTCCTTGATTATGTTTTAGGGATCAAGGAGTGGGCACAGATGGACTAGGAATAAACTCTATTCCAAAATATCTGTTGGCCAAAGCTGTCTCCACTTAGAGATTTCATCCTTGCTCTGGAGTTTTCTGATTCCCCCATAAAATCCATCTGTTTCACTACCTTCTTCCCTGTGATCCTTCCGATTAATCAATGCGCGTCTCCACCTTGAGCCAGGCGTGTACTGGTTGAATTCCAAGACAACAGTATCTGAAAGTCATAACAAATTATTAAACTTTACTGTTAGAAGATTTTAAGCAAAATCACAACCATTAGAAACTCAAGAGGAACTAATAGAGATGCAAGAATTTTGTTCATGGCACCAAGTCCACCCATGAAATGGTGGCTTAGCTTTTTGTTCAATTCATAAAGTTCTTTGTGTTATAGTTTGACGAGTGTGGATATTTATGAACTCAACGGTTAGATGAGGTAGACAATACTGAAATTAACCCATAAAAGTGTTACAATTTTTATTTCTCAGTTACAGAGTTTTCTTTTGACATTGTTGATACCAAACACCAATAGTTTTAGAGCATGGCTATGGATAAAGCATTTTGGTTGTCAGAGTTTTTAATATATTCACATTATATTAATGAAACAGAAAAGACAGTCTAACATATTAACGTAGATTAAGACTCGAGATATCAGGCAGTCGCAAGATGCTTCTAACATATACATATTTTGACATTGTATTTATTGGAAGAGAATGTTACAAGAAATTGAATACGGATGTTCAGCTAAAAGAATCTCAAAGCAGCCTAATTGAAGGGAGAAAGAACAGCAACATTAAGATCCATAATTTGTTAATCATGCTAAGGTGTTTCAGTGAAAACTTATAAAATGAGATGTTAAGATTTGTGCAAAACTGATAAGAATCGCCGTCAGTTGTCCCATAGTTGTTGGCTGAAACAGCATGAGTGTGAAGTGTGTTAGTGAATTCTGAGATTGGATATGAATGTGTAAATCTATATTTGTTTGTGTGCTTTCTCTTGAAAGAAAAGAATGTATTCCACCATGTTCGAAAAGCAAATATAAAGATCAAAATTTTCATTAGAAGAGAAACTTGCAAACCAACGTATGCAACTTTCAAGATTAGTTGATTAACCAACCGTTGATTGTATATTCTGGGAGAGACAATGATGGATCTACTGTTCTGTGATGCTGAAATAATTCATTGGCAGCCATAGCTGTTATCACTTAATTCTAAGAAGCTTAAGATCTCTCTTGACTCAATGACAAAATGAACTTACCACTAAGATGACAATGGCAGAAATGCTCACTTCCATCGCAAGATTCCAAGTGTCCTATTACTCCGTACCACCAGCCTGCAAAACATAAGAATTGTTTATTTTCTGATTTTCTTACCTCAAATTTTCTACTGCACTTGATAACAACAAAAGATTTGATCTTCTGTATTTAATTGCAGACAGTATAAGAAATTTAGTTCACCACAATAGTTCATTGTCATCAACAGAAAAGGATAATACATGTTTAGCAGTCACTGGAGGGGAAAAGCAATGGTTAAAGCACCCACCATACGGAAACTCCTTGTTTCTTCTCCACTGAATCTCAATATGATCACCAGGGCGTAAATCACTCAAGCAGTCTGAGATATGAAGTTCATGAGCAGGAGTACTGATAGGGGGTGCTCTTAGTCTATCCCATTGCACGCCCTCCTCTATGACTATAGCTCGTCGTCCATGTGGTGGGTACCTACAAGTCAGGACAATAGATAGCAAGCTAAGTATGCATATATAAGCATCACGACATATCAAGCCGGGACAGTAAACTAATACACACTCCAGTCATGCACATGATCTAGACTGCATAATTTCCTTTTTGAGAAACTTAAAAGAACAAAAATGTCGATGTTCAGCTCCTGCTAATACTTCCAATTCCAACACTTAATTTGAAGCATGCACTATGTGATTTTCACAGGAAATTACTACCGTAGTCTGTTAACACAGTACAATTTATACAAAGGAGAACATTCTAAGCATACAATTGAGGCTCGTTTATTCATACCTTGCATGAAAAGTATCCGTGTGGCTATCATACCTAACTTCCGCATCATAGCACGATAACATAAACCCCACATGCCCATGCTGCAAAGAAGCATTATAACTCTTAGTAAACTAAGCTTCAAGAAAAAAAACTACAAATAATCAAGCACCAAAATCTTCGCATAAGACACTCAAGTAATGAGTACACGGCAGGATGCATGATAAGTAATCTTGTTTCCTAGTACTAGCAACTTAACCATCATTATGTCACAAAAAACATCATAAGCTTTGGTTATGAAAAGGTTATGATAAATGACAGACATTCACAAACACTATATGAGGAAGCAAGCCATGATCAAAGGTATGAAATTTGCAAATCGAGATCATTTGTATCAAAGAATTTGTTCTGACCAATACCTCACGGTTGTAAATCTGAGATGGGAACCAGAATTTGCCACTCTCGAGTGACTGATACCAAGACATAACGGAGTCATCGGGCGAAGGGCTCTTCGGCTTGTAACTGCCGTCGATCCTAGACTTGAGCCAAGAAATAGGCCAGACACAAGAGAGCACCCCAATCCACTTCTTGCTTCTGTTGCTGCTGGTGATATCAGCAGGCGAAGAATCCTTTGTCGAAGACAAGTACTGCTTCCACTCTCTGCGTGCCGCATGGCCTATCAATCTCCCCCATTTCTCTTTCATATGCTTCTCCCAGAGATGATCGCTCCTGCATCTCTCCCTCAGAGAGCTACAAACAGCTGCCATGTTAGACAATCCCGTCGGCGACAACTTCCCGAGGATGCACTCCAAGGTCAACTCCGGCAAATCCAAGACCGACATCTCCTCCGACTCCTCTACATTCTCCACCCTGTGGACGAATCGGTTCCTCGGAGACATCGTGGACGATCCGACACTAAATCTCAAGACGAATGAACCAGGAAAGACGTCAGCAGGGACCGCAGAGGAAGAGACTCGAAGAGGGGATGGACGGAGGGGAAGAAGTATACAAGGAAGAAATTTGTATCAAGAGGAAAAAAAAGAAGCAAAGCAGAGATTTTTCAGGCGGTTGATTGGGTTCTCCACAGGAAAATCGAAGAATAATATGAAATTCCAAGTTGCTTCGAAAGCAATGGTTCGATAGCAATTCCTGCACCAGGAATGATCCTGATGCTGTGTGTAGTGCTGACGCGACGAAACCCACTCGAGTTTGGGTTCTTCCAATCGGCAACCCCAAGCAACAAGATAGGCTTTTGGAGGGTGACACCAGCCTCCTACTTTCGCAGCACCTTTCCTCGAATCAAGCCTCTAACGAAACAAAAATGGAAATCCAAGAGAGAGAAAGCTCAGAGCCAGAGCCTGAGAACAAGAGAACTGATGAGGAGACGAGAGATTGAAGAAGACAAGGGGTGGGTAGTCGGGGAATGGGCGAGATTAGGTGCAACCAACACCAGAACTGCAGACCTGACACAGACCCAACAAGGGCTCAAAAAGCAAGCTGCAGAATGGAGATCCGGAAGAGAGGGTTGGAGGAGAGGAAGATTGAGATGAACACGAAGTGGCAGGGGCAAGCCCTCCTCGGTTCATCAAAGACCTCCCGCCCCCAAATCTCTGTCTTTCTCTCTCTCCCCTTCCCTCGGAGAACCCAGGAAACAATGTTGAGGTAAGAGAGGGAGGTGAGGAGGAGAGATTAAAAGGACTCCAGGGATAAACTATAATTGGCTGAGAGGGAGTTTAGTAATCATTTACTTTTCTTGGGCGGGGGAGGTTGCATCACAGCCTTGACGAGCCACCAATCATCACGCCCGTCGTCCTCACAACCCACCATTATCGCCTCTTCTCCTGCAGCCACCAACAGCTTGTTGTGGTTGGTAGAAAAATACCTCACACAGTCACAACTGGTCACTGACATGACCCCAATCGAGTGCAGACGGTGTCATCATTCTTGGTAAGATTCCATCTTGCATTCATCATCATCATCAAGTCAGAAGATAACCTCAGGCGTGATAATGGTTAGATTACATGGTTTTTGTCTTCTATTCTGTCTCACACACCATGGCAAATATGTTGGTGTCAGATTGACTTTGAGACTGAAGCTCGTGTGAATCGGTCAAGGAATCATTGTTACGACCGGAATAGATATGTTTGTAATGGATAAGCTCGATCGAGAGGGTGGTGGAGGTTGTCAAATTCCATTGG